TATATTTACACGCGAATTTCGTAGTCGACGAAGCCCCGAACGGAGATTGAGAAGAAACAAGAAAGAGGAGTCCGTCGTCCAGTCAGAACATGAAGGGTGCTGGTGAAAACGTTGGCATCACTGCATGCACTGCCGGTCGCCTGAAACTTCCAAAACAACAAAAGTTAAATGGAAAAAAAAAAAAAAAAAACAATGAAACGTCCTGAATTTTGACACAACTGTAATTCCTTGAGTTACTAAATTGCTTGTGAAAATGACACGTGTATCAACACATTCCAGGCCTCTGTAACTGCAGGCCATTTTCCTTTTTTTTACATAAAACAACAAAAGCCATCTATCTCTGCTCTCGTTGGAATTATTTAGGACAAAGTGTGGTTGATTGTATTTAGGCCGCCTAACTGGTTAGCATTTTTATGACGCAAACTAGATCATCATCATCATATGGTCAAATTCTGTTGCATCCCCCCCCCCCCAACAAAAAAAGAGATGGCTGTGTGTAAATTATGGTTCATTTGGGTGACGCGTGTGTGTGTGTTGAAGAATCACGCGCTTCCCGTGACTTCTCTTCTGCTAGATCGATGTATGTATAGATGATCTTCCACACAGACACAGCTGTAGTCTAGGATTAAATTGGTAACAGTACCAACTCCTTTTTACCTAATATTTAGCATTAAAATTATAGAGAACGCACACGAAAATGTGTTTATCAAGGGAAAATGGAGCAGTAGTCCGTATATGTATGGAAGTTCTTCCATCATCTTCTTCTTTTCTTTTTCTAAGTAAGGCATCTTAAATCAGTCATATTGCTGGGAATCTGACAGAATCCTCAATTAGCAAGTATCGATTATAAGAGCAATCACGTACTAGTACGTTTTATATCATCTAGCGGTATGAATTGGACGACAATTTCGAAGAGAGATGACCGCCGCCGGGAATCTTTTTGGCCATGGTGGTACTACGAAGCAAAGTACAAAAGGATATGCACAACAATTTATAATTCCAGGATCTTATGGAAAGCAGAAACAGGGGTTAATTTTTTTTGAAAAAAAAAAAACCCAGAAAAAGGTTAAGGAAATTAGAATCCGATGCCAAAAGTACGAGGTATCAAAAAGCACCTGACATCTTCTCGAGGACAATGGGAACGAGGCCTAGCCGCTGACGTAATCTTCCTTTTAAGACTCCGCTCAGATGATGGGGATGATGATGATGGTGATGATGATGATGATTGGAGGACGGTGATAGGCACCTCTTGATGATTATGATGATGACGATGATGATCAATTTTGTTCCTCTCATGTAAAACGTTGTCTTCACAAATCGAAGACAAGGATGGCCGCCATTCCCCGCCGGAAGAGGAATTACGACCAGACCTTCCCGTCCCCGTCGCCCTGCCTCGCTTCCGCCCTCTGATCCCGCATGTTTCGGAGCCAGGCGGAGGCGCCGAAGCCACCAACAACCTTGCTTCTTCCTTGACCATCGATGTTGAAGAGCATGAACCACAACATGCCATGAATTCCCGTAGGAACCTCATGACTTCACTCACCACACACACACACACACACGTAGTAAATCAAGAAAAATATACTCTACGATTCCCACTGCCGCTACTAACAGGAATTGAATTTGAAGGTCATAATATAAAGGAAAAAAAATATCAGTATTAAAAAAGAAATAGTGTTAGTGTGCGACCGTGTGTGTTAAAAGTATGGCACTGGGGCTTGTGATTGTCGTCACAAAGATTCATATGGATATTGGTTTGGTTCGTTTCTATCCATTTTTTCCCCCTTCTGTGTGTGGGTGTGTGTGTGTGTGTGTGGTGCGTTTAATGACATGTACAAGTGGAGGTTTTATAGAAGAAGAAGGAGATATGAGATATGGGGAGGGGCATAAAGGGGTGGTTGTGGCTTAATGGCAATTACGAACATCAATTGCCTAGTCCTTGTCCTTCCTGGTGCGTCCCATCCTCATCCACGTACTAGGATTTTGTTAAAATTTGGCCACTTCACTTCGTTGATTTTGGTTTTACGATTACGTCCTTCCTTTGCTGTTGAGGTCCCATTCATTCGTCCATCCATGCTAAGGTGTTTGCTAGCTATTCACTTATTTATTTATAGCTGGAGATGAAAAATCAAAAGTAAATATAGCTTTTTTTAAGTACTACTAGTAATATGCATATAGATGAATGAAGAACAGTATCGGAGTTTTTTTTTTTTTTTTTTTTTTTCGACACAGAGATGTCCGGATCAATTCTTACGGGGACCGACTAATCCCTTGCGACCTAGGTCCGGCGCCCCAACTCGATCCAAGCACGTTAAGTGCGCGGAGGAACACAACGGAACAGAAACTCGAACTCGGGACCTATTGATTTTCTGTGAAAGGTGCTACCGCTAGACCATTCACGCGAGCGCGAGTACAGGAGTCAGTTGGTTTGTTAGTTAATTGAATCGAAGTAGGTTGGGCTGTCTTGTCATCGCCTCAAGAAATTAGCACTACGATACGAGTAAACGCTTCCATTTCTTTGGGCTGACTTCCAAGTCAGCATTCTCAATTGGGTCACTCACTACCCTTGTCCTCCCTCAAAGAAACAAGTCGATATCGAAAATTTAATTGTGAGAACGACCAATCCACCCCACAAAAATCGAAGGAGGAGTATACGTGTATTAGTTGTGAAATCTAATCAATTTATTTATTTTCTGGGGCAAATAGCAATATTCAAGTTTAACTGCCTCATCCTCAGGGAAGGGAACTGGGAAGGACAAAGGACAAACCCCACCTACTTTTAGCGGCCACAGCCGTACAGCCGTCCGCTAGAACTATAGCCACCACTCCACTCCAGGCGTAATAAAACCTTTTTTTTTAGCTCCACACGGAACAAGCTTACCCATATTAAATAAAAACACCAAAAAGCCAGGGCTGACCGTTCGACAAATTAGTAAGTTTCTCATTTCATTTCTCGCAAAAAGAACCTTCATTTCTATAGCTAAAGAAGTGACCATCCATTCGACAGTACAATACTTATGTCGATCTTATGCTGATGAATCAAAGTCAGATTGTGAACTTAATGTCAAAGGACAGTTGTGAGAAAGCTATCTATCAGCGCCTAGCAAAATGTTGTTGCTGCCATTGCGCCACCTGACAATATTGCATGTCCAGTTCCTGTCCTGGAAAATAATAATGCATGCACTGATTTAGAAAATATCGCCCAGCTTAGTAACTTTCAGGCCTTTGAGTGGTCTTCCAATTTGCTTCTGCAACAGGGCAAAGAATTCCAATGCCATTTCTTAATCGCCCACTGAAACAGTGGTCCATCATCTGCCAACTGGTCTACTATTTTCAGATGCCGGACAAATTTGGAATCCAATGTCGTGCCCCAAGAATACTCCTTCCATTTCCTTTAGATCCGAACAAACTATGCAATCCTGTGAATTGCATATTCGTAGAATCAACATGCGAAAGAAGCATAAGACACGTTCACACCACACAAAAAAAATGAACTGAACAGAAACTGAAACTGCGGCAGTTAGGCCACAATTTTAAGGTGGTGGACCTACAGACGTTACTAAGGAGCCAGAAATACCTCCCAACACATAATAACCTCGTTCAGCTGCTGACGGACGATATTTACTGGTGCAAAAACTACATTGGAGGAGTTGCAAAGCCAATTCTCCACACGCAGCCTTGAAGGGGACAGGGAAAACAAATCGGCCCTTTCCCCTTATTTCTTTTTTTTTTTTAGTTGGAGGTATAAGCCACAGGTGTCCTATTTGCGACTAATCCTATCCAAGTCGGATCTATCCCTTTACAGAAAAAAGCTTTTTCAACCTTGTTCTTTTCATTTTTATGGATTTCCAACATGATACCTCATCATTAAACCCTTTAAACTTGCATCACCATCCGTTGGCATTGATCTCTCCCGTTGGAGGTATAAGAAAATGATTGTCCATGCAAAATTAGCAAATCAGTTTATCACGAGTATAAACTGAGATAAACTACCCTTCCAACAAACTTCACCCCGCACTTAAATCTGGAAACTGTAATAGGGACAAAAACAAATCATAAGAAACAAGGAAATTCTATGGCCCCGAGTACTAGCATCTCTTTCGCAGCTAGCAATGCACTTTAAACCGTGTCAATTGTGAAAAATTAGATTTTAATTGTGACAAGAAATGTTCCAATTCGTACAAATCTAGATATCAACAAACATATAGTTATCGGTAAACTTAATATCTGTTTGCGGAGGGGGAAAAAATTGTTCTCTGCGTCACACGATTTCCAACAGAGGTGAAACAGAATATGCAGAGCTATTGGGCCAAGAAGCATTGGCGTGCTGGGTCGCCTATAAAGATGCAAGCAATCAGACACCCATGTAACGGCCCAAAACGGTAGAATGTTAGGGCCCTCCACAATTGAAACCAAAAATCCAGCATCAAATTTAGGCCATCAACCACTTAGAACATGAAGTGATACTCCAACGTCACGCATCTTTACAGATGTTGATTCCTTGCGGTCATCTATGCTTAGAGATAATTCACACCTATATTCCACATAAGATAACAAAATAACTTTTTGGCAGAGTGCATGTCTAACCAAATGAAGCTTAATGTATAAGAACACTTCTGATTTACCCCCTTTCCCTATAAAAGACAAGCTTTCTAGAATTTAACTAGATTAGGCCATAAATAAGTACCAAGCTCATCAGCCAAATAGCAAAAAGGTAAAAATGCAACTCCAAAAGCCTGTGAGCAGTGATGCCGAGTAGCAGTATAAACCAATATGCAATGCAAATTGTATTCTCCTAAGCTACATTGTTACAAGCTTAAGCAAAAAATAACCTCATCCAGTCGTCCAATACAATAGTCAATATATATGACCAGTCAAAGTACGTAACTTTACTTGATCGGCAGTTTTAATTAAACTGAATGGAGACTATATCTCTTTGACACGGCATAAGATCAACATTCCCTCTGTATCAATCCAGAACAGTGCTATGTTTGAATTAAGGATTCTTCAACTCTGGAAACGTGTGTTATTGACACCACGGGGGAACGAATTTTGAGGTGGCGGCAGAGTATTTCTTGGTCTTGCATATTCAGCGAAGATAACCCAGCCATCCAAAAACTACAAAAAGTAGATATTACAAAAGAAAACAAATGAGACAAACATGTACAAGAAAAACTTTATCCTTCAAAATCCTTATCTAGAATCAGCAAGCTCTGTCAAATGGACAGCTAAAAGTTGGCCAAAGAACATCTGCTAGTTTGGATCAAGAATGCAGAATTTGATTATATGTTTGGCTTTGCTTTATCAATTACACCTTTGCAGTAACCAATGTAGGCATGCAATCACTGCGCCAGGAGCTCAAGTTGAACGACAAAAAAACAAATGAATAGGCTCAAAAGTAAGTAGGCCAAAGTTTCAGTGACCAAAAGCCCGCTTGTGGAATATTTAATCCCTGAACTTATCCATCGGTCAATGTAAAGGAAACCAGAATATATTGTTGAATTATGGGGCACCAAACACGGTGTTGCTTTTTCTTAAAAACAAAAACCAATCCCAGATAATCCAAACTAACCTTGCCATCCATGCCCTCTATTCCGGCAGCAGCATCTTCTAAGGATGCATATCTAACAAAACCAAATCCCTTTGAAAAACCAGATGCACGATCAGTTACCACTTTTGCTGAAAAAGGCAAGTAAATGCATGTTAATCTTCCATGTGGGATATTCTAAACCCCAGTTCTCCACTAGCGTGAAAAGAAAACATACCATCAACCACTTGACCAAACTTCTCAAAGGCGGTTCTGAGACCTTCAGTGGTTGTACGTTTGCTGAGGCCTGAGAGCATTAAAGAAACAATAAATCATACCTTTACTGAGGCGTAGAAAGACACACAAACACAAACACACGCAAAGATGAGCAACATAATTCATCAAATCATTAAAACTAAAATGAGAAAAAAAAAAAAAAAAAAGCAGTCCAGAAGCATCATGCATCTGTACCACACAATAATAACAAATTTGACGAGCCTCCACCCTCTCTTCCAAACTAAAAGAGGGAAAGTCTTATTCTGGGAAAGGCAGAAGGACTCGACAATACAATACATGCAGACAGGAAAAGGAGAAGAAAAACTACATCCAGTTACAAAAGCACCTTAGAATCTTAAAACACATTGAAAAAAGTCAGACTTTGCTCAATGGACAGTTTGAGGGTCAAGGCTCAAAAAAGAGGCAGGAGTTGATACATTTAACCAAAATTTGAGGCAAGGCACAAAAGAAAAAGAAGTTTTAAAATACGAAACTCAACTGCCAAAAACCAGATGTGGCTATAAAAGGAGAGAATTGCATATTCAGTCCAAGTTTGCACAGATCATAAACTTATCAATATTGTCAGAATAAAAGCTTCAGACAACACAAGAACAAAAGATAGGAGCTTTGGAAAAAAATTCACTGGAAATGCTATCGAAATTTGTCAGGCAAATTGTCTGCCAATCCCGACAGTAGACTGTAAGCCAACTACAAACACTAGCTAGGCTGTACCAAATTATTTCTCATGGAAGTTTAACCAAGACTAAATTCAATTTTTCAAGGCCTAGTTTCTAACCAACTTATCAGCTTCAACCGAAAATATTCATTTGGACACCTTAAATTCCTTGTTGCATCACAGAAAAGAACAAATTACTACAACATAAGCAGGCTAGGCCCCAAAAAAAAGTTGAAAATCAACGAATGAATTAGGCAAATAGCAACAACAAAAAGGTTCCAATCTTTCAAATCCAACAGCCCCTTAATCCAACAATCAGCTGTTCTTAAATTACCCTAGTTTCAATAATTTCTTAGCAAGTAAAACTAAACCCATTAACGGGTGCGGAACGATAAATCAGACAACGATATAGTAAGGAGAGAAATGGAAGAAGAAAAAAAGACTCATATTCAGCAGAAATTGAAGAGGGAATCTTGCCGGAGACGAAGAGATTGGTGGAGGGCTCAGCTGGAGGAGGTTTCTCCGTTTGAGACTGCGGTAGATTGAATGGAAAGGTTGATGTGGAAAATAAAAGGGAACTCAGACCCCTCGGCGACGCAGCCGTGGCCCGCCGTCGCAGCTGTCTTCGCCGCCGCTCTCAACGCCATCTCGATTTTTGGGGGTTTAAGCTCTGCTAATACCCTGATACAGTCACTAGACAGGGTTTTAGCACGGCCTATGAGGTTTGGGGAAATGATGAGTTTTATAGTCATTACGACGTCGGCTGGCAGATGCAGCAGTCCATTGGAATTTTTTTTTTTTTTTTTTAACAGTCTGTGGATTAAAAATTAATATCCAAAAAATCTTCTAATGGGCCATAAATGAGCTTCAAGAACACCCTTTAAGGCCCAGTAAGAGAATGTTCGTGGTGAAGGCCCACTTTATATTTTCCCCTTTCTAAGCATTAAATATTTTGCAACTCATTGTTTATGGAATTATTTTCTCTGATTTTTGTAGATAAAGTAAATTTTCTTATGCAGCTTCACAAATAAAGAATTTTGATCTTTAAAGAGATCGGTCTGCATCTGTAAGAAAATAATACACAACTGCAATATCCCTATGAGGAGAACGTTTGCATCTCTTATGATAAAAATTTGTAAGAGTTGTGAAATTTGTAAATTGCACCCAAAAAAAAAAAAATTTCAATTTGTTTTCCTGCCCGAATCTCGTAAAATCATTAAATCACTTCTCCTAATGGAACAGTTCTGCCATCCCCTTTGCAAGGCTAACAAAGAACATATGGAGATGAAATTCAAATTGCCTGTATTTCGAGTTTCGACCTACTAATAGCAAACACCTTCAGTTGCGACTTCAGAATGACTGAAATGGGTATGAATACCATAGAAATACTCATCACCGACGCTCCGTAATTCCGATGCGCAAGTCAAGGACATCAAGGTAATATAGAGAAGAGCTATCTTTAGTAGAAAGAACAGCTCTAACAAGCTTCAATGACGGTGAAGGATAGCCAAGATGACCGCATAAGACACGATTTGAAGTATAGGTGACTATTGCTTCCAAAAAAAAGAAAGTATCCAGCCGAGAATTCTGGTAAAGGAGGAAACTAAGAATCGATATCTTCAATTAATTGATGTTTTAAAGGACTTCAATTAGACCAAAAGTACCAAATTCAGTTCTTTTTCATCTCGAATACAAAACAATCCGGTTGTCTCCTTGTCAACCAAATGGATGCTATAGTTCAATCCGGGATTCATCATCTTCTTCATCATCGAAAATTAGTGCTGCTGAAACCATTTGAAGCACCATTTTGAGTTGGTGGAGAAGGATTTCTTGGTCTTGCATACTCTGCGAAGATAACCCAGCCATCCAGAAACTACAGAATAGAAGTTAAAAGAGAGCAATTGTAAGTAAACTACACATTAGCAGGAAAATATTTGTCATTCAACTAGAAGCCTAATTGACTTTGGACTGAGAACAAAAAGAGCCTTAACTAACTGCATGCTCTGTCTGCCAAGCGAATTCTTGAAATAACAACCTTAATAGAAAAAGTTCAGTATTGAACTCCATCCTTTTTTCGGTTACCTTTTTCCCCTCTTGTGTCCTGCTTTAGACTCCAGCTTGCTATTCCTTTTCAACAAGGGTAGCTTAAGGCATTTTGTTCAATGTACACTCTAACAGCAATAGCAGCATCTTAGAAGTGCTCTTGTGCTTTGTTCTGGGAAAGTGTCTTATTCCTGTTACTTAAATTGTTGAATTATTGATGTTACGTGAATAGTAGAATTATCTAGAACTTCTTGAAGAAAACCGTATCCTAAACGTCACTACCATCACTTCAACAACCATTCCCACTCTTTCACTTGCTTGCTACTTTCTCTTCTTAACCGATTTTCTTTGCATTTTGCAGCACCAGGGCCACCACTTGGCCAGAACATCACATAACATAGCAAATCTAGACACCACTTGAAGTAGCAAACACAAGTAAAAACCCAAGAGAAACAAATGAAATAACAGTTCACACTGTTAGAAGATTCAATGTGTTTCTAATTAATTTTTCCTACCCTAATCAATTATCTGCATGTTTTACCCCAAAAGAGCTTCTTTGCTTGGGATTTGGGGATCATCTCTCATATGAGACACACCTATCACCTATGACGGCAAGCACATCCAAGAATCAGATCCAAGGTGAGGAATGAAGATTTCTAATAAAGGAAAATGTCAATTGTAGCTATACCATAGTAAACTTGCTCAACAAGGAAACATTTTATACAATAGAAGAAGTGCTCTAAGTGAAAACATTCAGGAAATTTCTTACTGCTTCAATCGCTTCTCTCGTCTCCAAATTAGAGATCCTATGATAATATTATCACCAACAGAACCCTTTCCATTTATTTTGATTCATAATTCATTCATCCATAGTTCCAAAGAAAAAAAAATCCCTAGTCCATAAGACATGTGTAACTTTTTCTCCACTTCCAAAACCACCCTTGACAAGGCTTCTTCCTCTACTTAATAAACACATCCAAGCAAAATGGGATGCTTACAAAAAGATAAAAGTCCAGTTCTACCAGAGAATGTTGGATCATATTTTTGGCTACAACACAAGGAATTCTCTGTGAAATTAAAACAAAAAAGTGCTTATATTGTGTCAACTGACCTGGCCATCCATGCCCTTAATACCAGCCTCAGCTTCTTGTAAAGTTGCATATCTAACAAAACCAAAACCTTTTGAAAATCCAGACACTCGATCACAGACCACTTTTGCTGCAAAAGGCAAAGAAATATATCATGCTCTGTGTGAGGCTATTACGCAGAACCAATTGTCTAACAACCTGAAATCCAAACTTACCATCGACCACATTTCCGAACTTCTCAAAGGCACCTCGGAGACCCTCATTAGTTGTACGTTTGCTGAGTCCTGGAAGTGTATAATATTGTCATGCATTTCAGACTCTCCAGCATATCACAGCACAATTAGATGAAACACAACAGCGGATTCTGGTTATCATCGGAAAACGGAAACGATTGACTTGAAATGCATCCTAAGTATCCACATTGCCTATCATTTAATCCTACTATCAAAAGGATAGCCAGCTACAACACATAAAATTTCCAAAGAGTTAAAGAAAAAATTAAACAAAAACAAGGGAAGAATGCCGATTGATTGATCTCATCTGCAGTTAATTAAAACTATAGTATCTCCAATTAATAACTTGATTATTTACATTTGACTGCGGCATCAGATAGGAGTTTTGTCCGTGAGCATGAACCTAAGAAACATTATTATATAGTAATTAATATTGAAAATCATGAATGACGCATATAAATGGAAGCTCAGGTATATAAATTGTAAAGTACAAGCTCTGCTTAATCATTTCTGAGAAAGTAAAAGGGGAAAAAATAAGGGCATTAAACAAACAGTAATAATACTTTAATGCTTAACTAAATAGGTAAAGAAGCAAAGTTAATTTGGCAAATGACAAGAGATAAAGAGTAGCTACCGGAAACGAAGAGATTGGTGGAGGGTTCAGCAGGAGGCGGCTTCTGAGCAGGGGACGGTTGATTAAATGGGAATCTTGACGTCGAGAATAGAAGAGCCCTAAAACCGGTGCTAGGCGCCGCGGCGGCCTTCAACTTGATAGCTGCTGCCTTCATCGCCATCAGAGGTTTGGGCCGGGGTTTAAGCTCTGATTTCGACTGATTTCTCAAATGAATATGATGAGCAGCAGGGATTTCTGGCTTTTATTATCACGTTACGACGTCGGACTGATATGGTAACAAAACACAATTCTGCAGATTTCTGGCTTTTTTTTTTTTTTTTTTTCACTTTCTTGCGGTTGCGCGAAGGTAGACTTTAGAAACCTTCATATGGGCCAAATGCAGATTTGGGCTGCCAACACTTTTAAGAGTACCATACAGCATTAAATTAGAAAACTAGGGAGAATCAACTTTCGTGATGTATTTTAACTCTTCATTTTTGTGCCCAAGTTTTGTAGAAAATCACTATTTGATTATAAGTAAATCTTATATATACTGACAATATATATATACTATTATTATTGAATCTACGACATATATGCAAAAGTTGAATTTTAAATTCAAATATTGTATATTTGTTATTTATTCAATGCTGACAGTGTAGGAAAGATTAATCTTTCGATTATTATTATTGGTGTCACTGCTATTATTATGATGATAATTTTAAATAAGTTTTTTTATTGATCTTAAAACGTGATTTACCATCGAAAACATGACTTGTTGTGAACTTTTACAATCAAGTAATCTGCTATATTTCTGATCTCACGTGGTCGCATTTTTATTTACCTCAGAGGTTCAATAGGGAATTTTACGTTTTAAGAATGTCGATGTTGTAAAAATCGTAAGAGGATTCTAATCTTTGTCCCGTTGAGTGCAAAATCGGTCCGAGACAGGCTTCAATGGTTTTTTGCCTTGACATTTAAAAAAAAAAAACTCATTCGTTTCATTTTCTCTTCAGGTGGAAGCGGGCCATTGGTTGGACCTTTGTAATGACAAGTTCTAAGGACACACACCTGCAATTTAGGAACAATTATTTTGCATATGAAAGAATCATTTGATAGGAGATTGTAACAGTTAATGGGTGGTTATGTAGTTTGGATGGTTAAGGTGAAAATCAGTTGTGGATAAGTTGGTTGATAATATGGGGCAACATATGATTAGATAGTAAAGGTAAAATTAAGTAATTATAAGGGCAAAGTTGAAATTATAAAAAGTGATAGAAAATGTTTTATACCAAACTCATGGCTCTTCCTTCATACTCAGTATAAATAATTTACGGACAAGTTTAGCAATACTTGGCATTTTTATAGCATGAGACTGAATGTCGTATCACTTGGTACCTTTTTTTTTTTTTTTTTTCTTCTTTCTTGGACTAATATCACTTTGCCCCTCTCAATTAAAATAATAGGCACTTTACCTATTTCAAATATTCTGTTTAGGCAAGGATTTTCTTTGAAAATGCAAAAAAAAACAAAAAACAAAAAAAAAAAAAAAACAAAAGGTGCAGTGCTTAAATATGTTAACGATTTTACCCTTGTGTGTTTCATAAATAACTATAATTCAATAAGAACATTTATTGAGAAAAATGGATAGCTTAGATGTGTTGACAATTTTACCCTTATGTTGTTGATAAATATTAATGTACCTTCGTGCTATTGATAAATAATGGTGATTTATAAAAGGACATCTATTGAGGAATAGAAGCTGTATTTAGCACTGAAGTTTTCATCATAAACAATACATATTCAAAAGGTGTTGAAATTTTGAAAAAATATCAAAAAATTGGTGATAAAATCTAGATCAAGTATTTGTCAAATGAAAATTGATAAAATCCATAGATATCCAAAGTTTGGTACAGACAGTTTGGAGGTAGATATTCAAATTCTATTATTAAATTCCCGATTAAGGTTTGGTAAAATAATTTAACGTGGATGCTAAAATTCGATTACCGAATTCTTGACTACTGAGATCGAGTTATCGAATTTTATGCGTTGATGTATATTATTAAATATTACATACTAATATATACCATGGACTAATCTATTTATATATATTAAGGTCTTATAAATTATAACCATAAGATCAATTTGACAAAATATAAAACTACAACATAAGAGTGGAATTGTGAACATAATTAAGCAACCTATTTTTTTATCTTTTTTCAAATGAAATGCTTGACACAAGCACCAAACGGAATATTCTCAACTCTCAACCTATTATTTTCATTACGGAGGCTAAGTGTTGCTATTCCCCATTTTCTCGGGAATAAAGTGTTTTTAACCCTAAGTGTTGCTATTCCCCATTTTCTCGGGAATAAAGTGTTTTTAACCCTTTTTTTATTCAAACTTTTTGAGAAAGATAAGTCGACCAAGTTGTAACCGAGCCAACTCAATTTACCTCACAAATCCCAATCACCTTTTTATCTTCCCAATCATCTTTTTATCTCACACACATCACATCACAAAAGGTGCTACAGTAAATATCTCAAATAAATCGTCCAAATAAACTCTTATCCAAACAAACTCAATGGCTAATCTTCCGGAATCCGGAAGCAATTTTGACTCCTCAGAAATATTTCAGCTTGCATTTCTTGACTAGGGTAAATTATCCCAACATCAACCTACGGGCTGCAAAGGGTTTAGGAAAGAACCTTTTATTTTCTTTTGGGGACAAAGTTTTAGAGCCAATTTGCCATTTTCTAGGAATTCCTTGCAGCCTCAGAGAGAACAGC